CGCCGCATCCGCCGTGACCCGATGATTCCGGGGCAAAACTTTACAGTTGATCAGCCACAAGCTGCATTGCCTCCAGTACTCCATAATGCGCGTGTAAAAATAAAATAAACAACTGTGAAATAAATCTGACACCGTTAAATGAAGCTGAGGTGGTTTAGAAACACGCGAAGCAGAGCAGCGCGCACACACCTTGCGTTATATTTGGCAGGTTTTCTTTTTTGTACGCGCTCTTGGTTGGCAAAACCGAGACTTGTGCGCACTAATTTGGGTTTATCCGCGGTCTGCCAGGACTATAAATCCCCATGAGTAGAGTTACGAGTTCTAGTATGGCAAAGTTTTTTATAATAATTAAGTCGTGCGGCGATGTCTGGTAATCTTTCAATGAAGAAGTCTGATCTCATGAATATTAATGACACGTTGCTGACGCTGCGTTGTAATCTTCCAATGGTGAAGGCTCGTCTCATGAATATTAAGAGCCAAGTCTGTATCATATGATAATTTCGTCCCTTAGCCTATTAAATGAGCTTCCTTTTCCGTTAGTTTTAAAACCACTTGAGGATGTATCTTTTCTCTTATAAATATCATACTGACTTTAAAGTGGTTTGTATTGCGCTGTAAAATTGTAAATAAATTATGTGTCCAACCGATTATGTCCTGAATAAAAGAAAATCATTAATAACAACACAAAGATAGTAGTAGTAGTAGTAGTAGTGCGATGACTAGTTTATAAGGCGATCGTTTTGCTTTTTAATGGTGGAATCGTTTTGCTTTCACAGGGAATTTAGGACATTCCAGATGGATTAAACGTGGCTTTAGAGAGCTGATCATTCATAAAACAACGATGGAGAAGTTTATTTAAGAGCAAACTCACACAGATAGTGCAAACGTTCTCTTATACTTTTCCATGAGTGAGTATTCTAGTAAAATGAGTTTGCTTATTTGCTTAGTTTTTTCTTTTAGAACTTTAAGCGTGGTTCAATGAATATGAACGAATCGTCTAGTAGCAAAATATCGAAATTAATTCGTTTTAAATAACATAATTAGTTATTTATTTGGTTAAATCATAGTGTCTATATATTTAAAATGTATAAACAGTCGACGTTGCACGTGCATGTGATCCGTTGTCACGTGCTTAATTCCGTCCAATCAGCAGCAAGGGAAACGCAGTTCCATAACACAACCTGAACATGACATAACACAAGCGCTTCCACATTAAATTCATTGTGCAACTTTCAAACTTTCAAACTTGAAGAATATAGGATTTCAAGGTGAGAAAAAACACATTTGTTTTAAATTGTATTAAACATTAGTGCTAGTTTCAGTTGTGTACGTTGAATATATGCTAAGCGTAGGAAAGCATGATACAGTTTGTCTATATTTCGTTTTATCTCGTTGTTACAGATGGCTCTTGCCTTGGCTGACAGGGCTATCGGAGCTATCGTTGCCTCTGCTGTGGCCGATGCTGCAGGTTTGACTTACGAATACTAGTTACAAAATATTATATATAACAACAGAGGCAGTGTTACAGTAAATGTTATTATTTTTATAAGAATTGAGTAATACTGAAGAACATGCACATGTATGACATTCCAATTTATATAATCACACATGGTTCTTCTTGTTGTCATTACTACAGTAATTATAGAAGCAGGTAATGTGTACCTATAATCAAATGTTTACACAGATTTGTGTTTATGTACCCTGCAGCACAACCGCTTCACTGGGTCTATGACCTGCAGAAGCTGAGTGTGTTACTCTCTAAAAGTCCTCAGCCTGAGTTCCACCCTGAGTCTGCAAACCCGTTCTACAGGAGGAACACTGGACAGCAGAGCTGCTATGGAGATCAAGCTTTCGTGCTCCTGGAGTCCCTGTCTGAGTGTGGAGGTGAAAAATACTCCACAAAACAATTAGAACATGATACATTCCACTATGTAGCTATATAAAAGCTTGACTATGGTATTATGCTTATCATCATGCTATTGTCCCATGTTGTTGTTCATGGGTTAACAGGTCTGAACGTGGAAGATTTAAAGCAGCGCACCTACAAGTTCTTTGGACCGGGATCTGAATATGACACACCAGTCAATGATCCTTACAGAGACAAAGGAGGTAGATTAAATCCATTGCACAAGTTTTCATATTATTTACTTTTTTATTAGTTGTTCTTGAAATATTTCAAGCTATATTTGTTTTTCTACATAATTACAACAGCTATTTTATTACAAACAAATGTTCAGACACCGCAGATGACAGTCATAACCTGAGACATTTTATTAGTTTTGTACTGCTATTATTTGTATTGTTATTATTGAGGTTTAATTTATTTTTATTTCAGTTTACTTATTTCAGTGAGTTGAGTAACATTTCTAATTTTCTTTTTTTATTTCATTTTTCAATCTAATGTTTTAGTTTTAGTTAACAATGAGAACCATGCCTGTACATTTGTCATTTTGACTCATAACCCCAGACAGATGGTTGAGTTTGTTTTGTTTTTTAAATGTGAGTTTTCTTGAATTATTCATGATTTTATAATTTGTTTCTCTCAAGCTCCCAGGCCTCAACTACCTATTGAGGGACCCTGGAGACATGCAAGCCTTAAGAGCTTTATAAAAAATGTGGATGCAGGCAAGGAAGAGACAGGTATTGTCAGAAAACCATCCTCCTAAATATTTTGTGTAGCCACATTTTTGTTAATAAACACAAATTAATTTACATTAATTTACAAACTTATAATTATAAGAACATTCTATGTAAATTAAAAGGCGTTAAACAACACTAAATCTTTATTGTGACACTTTTCAGGTTGCGAAACTGATAATCAAATAGACGGAGTGACAAAGCTGGCTCCCATTGTAGCATGCTATGCTGGAAAGCCAGAGATGTTGGAGAGAGTCGAGGAAGCCATCCGTGTCACACAAAACAACGACATATGTGTGGCGGTAACTCTCACTGCTGCTAGGTTGGTAATATATGGTTATTTATGATACTTAGATGGTGGCATATGACAGTTTAAATTGTGTGAGGAAATGGTGTATGAACCGATCTCTTTAATATGATGGAAATTCTTCAGGTTCTTGGAGCATTTCATCCTGAATGGTTCTGATCCCAAGGCCCTGGATGCAGTTCTGAAACAGCTCAATGACCCGAACAGAAAAAACCCTCAGGAGTTGGACAAAGCTATAGCTGGTATAAGCAGCTTGGTACTGTTATAAGTGTTATGAGCTGGATTCTTCACAGATGATATAGTCACTTGTCTCTTTAGCTGAGGCTAAAGCATCATTTAACCCTGCAAATCATGTCATTCACTGTGTTACAATCAATCTTATTTTTGTTTTCTAACTTAGGGCACATTCATCAAGTAAAGGACAATCTGAGCAAGAAACCCAAAGAGCTCATTCCCTCTGTGTTTCCAAATACCTGAGGTTAGTAACATTCACTACAGTAGGCCCATGTCTCTTAAGCATTTAGTTGTGTTGTTATTTTTGAGATTGATTGTTAGTTACAGGCTATGTTGCGTACCTCAGGTTTGCCAGGTGCGTTCCAGGCAGCGCTGCATGGGGTTCTGACAGCCAGTGGCTATGAGCAGGCTGTCCGGGATGCCATGAGCTGCGGTGGATGCACCTGTAGCAGAAGCTCCTTCATCGGCGCCTGCATTGGAGCTCAGGTACTGCAGAAATATAAGAATGACCTTTTATAATTGCTTTATTATTATAAAAAGTAAGTAGTCTACAGTATAGGCCTATGTAGTCAAGGTCAAATTCTTCTTGTGTTATCTGTAACACTTATCTTTAACCGAGCAATCCATTCCAATATTTCATCAGGTTATTATGTCATACATGACAGAATGACTAAGCAGCAATTTTTAGCGTTTATGTAATGACTCTTAATATCTAATACTGTGACACTTGTTTTCAGGTTGGTGTTGAAGGAATCCCAAGTTCCTGGAGAAGCAAGACTTTGCGATATAACACTTTGTTAGATCTGGCAAAGAAAGTTGTTAATCTCCAAAAGCTTTAATTTTTTAGTATGCAAAGTTAATATGTAAGTGGAAAATAACTGATATGAATATAAAATCATACATGTTATTATGATTTTTTTTTCTTGTGCCTAAAGATCATCTTCCATGGTTGTGATTTTGATGAGACAGTTCATGAAAGTTGTAGCTTAAAATATGAAAAAGTTATAACTTGATACCTTTGTTTTATTAAATTACAACATGGCTTGCTGAAAATGGCATGTATAACTAATATTCAATGAAACACTTTGTATCTGTTTTGTTGTTATTGCAAAGTCAAATAAATACTACTCAAATACTTGTTTTGTCCAATGGCGCTATCTAGTGGACATCCTAAAAACTCATGGGGAGAGAATAAATTATTTTTATTTTTATTAATTTTATTATTTTTATCAGGGGGGAAAAACAATAGGCTACATTAAACAGTTTTCGTTTTTTTAAACACAAACCAAGCAGTAATATTTAACATTTTAATGTTCATATCACCTTATTTTATTTGGTTTATTTATTTGTAATTTCCTATTATTCCCTGTTTTGTTTAACAACATAAAATTGTATTTTTTTTAACATTTTTTTTATTTAATTTTAAATTAAAATTTAAAATTATAGCAAATTAGTTTGTTGTATTTGTTTATTTATTTATGCTTTTATGTTTGACAGGCTATGGAAGAGACATATATTTTTCATTTAGCCTCTCACAACATTGCTAATTTCCTATTATTTATTGATTTATTCATAACTATCTGTGGATTAATTAATTATTTATCTATGGTTCACTTTGTTAGTTTGTCAAGCTAAATGTGCCAAATATTAAGTTAACAATAATGTTCTCACTCTTTGGCTCTTTGTCAGAACCAACCAAATAGTATTTTTCCAAATACTATAGATATAGAGACTGTGTTATATTTTATAGCCAAACTGCTAAGTAGGCAGCACACACACTATTGAGACACACCCGCTGGCTCTCGTTGAGTTTGTCCTTCCTCTCTTCTCACACTCACACACTCCAACAACAGCTGCTGCTCAGCGTTAGCAGCAACACAACTGACAGATACATCACAATACACACCAGACAGCCTTAACACAGCCTCACGCGTTTATTTTTCATTTCATATCTTTCCAGTTGCGTTTTCTTACATGGACTACACGCTTATCAAAACAAAGCGAGCTGAATTCAGAAGTGTTTTGGCCAGACGGACAGAGGCTATAATAGCAGGCTAATCTGTGTTTGCTAACAGGCTTCAGTTCAGACTGAAGGTTTAAAAACATCGGTTTATTCATAAACACAGACATGGAGTTCAACGTCAGACGACTAGCAGCGGACGCGGGCACTTTCCTCAGCCGTGCTGTGCAGGTATAACGTTAATGTCTATAAATTTCTTTAAAACCCTCAAGACGGGGTGTTAGTCTCTTGTTTTGTCTTTAAACTGTTTTTATTTACTTTACTTAAAAGTACAGTTCAGACAAATTGACAGCTGTGTGTGTCTTCATTTACTCACCCTCGTGTTTGTTTGACTTCTCACTCCTCCACAAAATCAGATTGTAATGAATTGACAGCCGACGTCACCATTCACGTTACTACGTTTTACCATTTGAAAGTGATTGGAAGTGGAAACCAAAACTGTCATTCTGCCTAACATCTCTTTTTGTAGCTTTACAGAACATAGCCTACATTTTAATTAAAATGCATTGGTAAATGCAACATTGGAGTGGTGACAGTTTTTATTTTGTTTCTTCCTATTTAGGTTTGAACTTTTCATATAAACATTTTATATATGGCAGTAGTTTTAAAGCTTTTGAGATAATTTAAACAAATTTGTCCAGCAATTTGTATATTCTCAGATGTCAGGGTGGCACTGCAAACATCCCTCGTTTATTATGAATTGACAATGTAATAACAGTAAACATGATAAGCACAACTGATTCTTGTGGCAAAGTGGAAAGGTTTAGATCTCTCTGATATACTGGTAGAAACTGATCATATCAAGTATGGGTAGGTTGGTACTCAATGTCAGGTGGTACAACTACAGTATGTACACAACTGTTACGTTCCGGCTCCAGGAAGTAACAAAATAAAGGGAATAGAGTCCAAAGAAAAAAACAGACTTTCAACAGCAAATAAACAAACAATAAAGAAAAAAAAACAATATGAAGGTTCAGCTCCTGATGTGCACAGGTACAGGATAGGGATACTATTTGGTTGTACCGCCTGACATAAAAAATGGTCAAAATAAATTTAAAGTAAAGACTTTGAAAGTGTTTGAAAGTAAACAATTGTTCTAGACTAAAAAAAAAATGCATTATATCAGTTTTGAAAAGATTTGTGAAGCTTTATTTGTCAATGACCGAATATAATTTTATTATTCATGTGAACAGTGGAAAAAAAAGTTGGCCGGAAATGAAGTTTAGGTCAGCAGCTCACTAGGTTTTGGTTTTGAAGCCACAGCTATAATGTGTGAACTTAAACACTGTCAACTGTAATATGTAAACTATACTGCTGAACTGTCATGTGTCAGAACTGTCTGTCAACAAACTGTTTGTAATCCATGTAGTTAACAGAGGAGACGTTTGGGCAGGCGGAGAAGACTGAGCTGGACGCCCACCTGGAGACTCTTTTAATTCGGGCAGAATCCACCAAACACTGGACGGAGAAGATCATGAAACAGACCGAAGTTGTGCTGCAGCCGAACCCTAGTAAGAAGAAATGCGTGCGATCAAACAGGACTGTAGTTCAGCAATGCTGCAAGTCAACATGAAATGAACTCAGCATTACAGTTTGTGAAATCATCCCGCTATTGTAGTAATCCTAATTGCAGAACAGGAGTGTTAGGTTCCCCATCTGTTCTTTGCAACAGGATTAGGACCCAGCCTGAGTATTTTTAGCTGTTTAGCCAGGAAGTCAAAACAAAGTGGGTTATATCTTGCATTTATGATCTTAGGCTGTCTTAGAATTAAGAAAGAAACACATCTCTATCTTTATTTTGGCTTTTGGTGGCATAGAGGTTTACTTTGCTTTGTTTCCTAAGCAGCACAAGCACACATATCAATAGTAACTCTTTGTAAGATATTTATGATGTTCAGCGGCAGTAATTTGTGCCTGTGGGTGACCAGCCTTGCTTAAGAGGTTGCATGTGGTCTCATCTGACTCCGTCTTAATTGAATTTGTCTGATGTGTGTAGATGTCCGGATGGAGGAGTTCCTTTACGAGAAGCTGGACAAAAAAGTCCCAACAAGGGCCAACAATCACGAGTTGCTAGGGGAGTGCATGATCGACTCGGGACACGAGTTCGGACCTGGAACTGCGTACGGTAAGCTCATTACGTGATCTCGTCCCACTGATCCTGGACCCTCCGCTAGTTTTTGGGGCCATGAAATTTTGGCGACGTCACAAAAATGCCAACACTTCTTCAGACAAGCAGCTTTCTATTGATTGTTATTATAAAGGGATACCTATGGTTTATTGTGAAGAAATGACACCTTCACACATGACTTGAGTTTGAATAAACACTGGCTCTTGTAATTAAACATTTTTTGTCTATTTATTTTCTTAACCTATGTGCTGTCTTGTAAGCTTGATTCATTCAGTATATTAGGTCACGGTCATGCAACTAATTTTATACTTTTTATACAACTAATATGTAGGTATATGTGTACACTAGATAAGTCACCAAGGCTTACTTTATTTGAACAAAAATACAGTAAAAACAGTAATAAATAAATAAATATTTACTCCTGTGATGTCAAAGCTGAATTTTCAGCATCATGACTCCAGTCTTACTCTTCAGTGTCACATGATTCTTCAGAAATCATTCTAATATGATGATTTGCTGCTCAAAAAAACATTTCTTATTATTATCAATAGCCAAGTTTCCATCTACTTATCAATCGAATCATCTGAAAACCTCATGCGAATGAAGCTTGTGAAGGTGCGTTTCCATCCAACGGCTTTTAGAGCGAATAAAAACATGTGCGTAATGACGTCACATGCTGTTTTGCGATCAAATTGGTATATCGAATTGATTTGAGACATGTTTTTCCATTCATTTTCTCACCGAATTGCACAACATTCAAGCAAACAAAGTTTTGCTAGGCAAAATGGATCGCGCCATAATAACGTTTCCATCAGCGTTTATCGCATAAGCCGTATATCGATCAAGATCAAATCCGATGAGACCGAACACATTTCATTTGAGTCGGTATTCGTTCAATTCAATCGAATTTTACTGTTTCCAAAAGGCATTTTTCATTCGTATAAAAATGTGTGGATGGAAACATAGCTGTTAAACAGTTGTGCTGCGTAGCCCTCAATCGGGTCATGGGGTCTATACGACCCCAATCGACTTTTACTTAATAAAAAAAAGGGAATAATCTCAGTGGAATAAGATTTTGTGACTTTTCATACAGTACATTATCTATCTATACACACACAAAAAACTGGGCTTGATTCGGTTGTTCTGAAGGTATGTAAAGAAAATGTTTACACTTCTGGTCTTCAGGGTCTAAAATATATTTTAAATTGAAATATAGTCGGAAATATATTTTCTTCATGTGTCAAAAAAAAAAAAATCCGGCATAAATCTGAACATTTTTACACAGAAATGAAGGCCTAGTACTAGAGCATAAATGCAACGTATTATAAAAAAAAAAAATATTTCAAATGCAAGCTAATGGTTTAGTTGAGGAATTGTGTGGTATATGGATACAAAAGTTTTATATCTCCAAAAACACAGCATTAATGAATAGATGAGAAGTAAACAAAAAAAATTATATATTATTTGTATGATTAAAAATGTATATTTTATGTACAATTACTCAATCAATTGTTGGGGTCGTATAGACCCTGAAGCCCAGAAGTGTAAACGGTAAACAAAGACCATTTATAAAATAGATACATTACAAATTTTGTAACATTATAAATGACTCTACTGTCACTGATCTATTTAACGCATAAAAAAAAAATTGAACAGTAGTGTGCGTGTATATATATATATATATATATATATAGGATAGTGTATAGTGTGAAAGAACGCAGAAGTGTGGCTGTCAATCTACATCGAAATCCATATATTCCGTGAACGTAATTTAAAGCTGATGAATGTATCTCAATGAGTGTGTGTGTGCTGAGATGAATGTCTTGTCCTCTGATGTGCTGCAGGTAGTGCTCTTGTTAAATGTGGGGAGACTGAGAAGCTGTTAGGCAGCGCAGAGAAAGAGTTCATTCACAGTGCCGCCATCAATTTCCTCACTCCCTTCAGGAACTTCATTGAGGGAGATTTTAAAACCATATCTGTGAGCATCAGCATACCACTGAACATATACACCTTTGACCATAATATAATATTATATTATACATTTTATTTTAAACCGTTTCATTTATCTGTTGTTGTGTTCTGTCTTTACAGAAAGAGCGCAAACTGCTTCAGAATAAGCGTCTAGATCTGGATGCAGCCAAAAACAGAATGAAGAAGGCCAGAGTGGCTGATGCTCGTTCTGCAGTTAGTATTTTACACACACGCACACACAGAGAGACAGAATGCTATAATAAACTGCTTTTTTCTTCAGTGGCATTTCTAGCTTACCCGAGATAAATTTTGAAGAGTGAAAGCTGTTTCTTCCTCTTTCCCACGCTAGCCGCCAGCTCTCTAATGCTCTTAGCGCAGTGTAACTAACAGAGGTGATGCTTGTGTTAAATGCCCTTTTGCGTGTGCGTGCACTGCTGTCTTTGGATCACTAACCTCTCTTATTTTCCACAGTTCTCCCTCATTATGTCTCTCTCTGTCTCTCTGCTTGCCTGCCTCCGTCTGAAGGAGCTGAACTCAAGCTCTCCGCTGGGAGAGGAGTATGTGGCTCACTTTTCTTACATGCTCAGCTTCTTGCATGTCAGGTGGCTAAAGGTTTGTCTGTTGTGTCTAATAAAACATCTGCCCTCTCTTGCCTTTCACAAAATCCACCATCTTTGGAGAGAATCATTCTGTGGAAAGAACATTTTTACACTCAAAAAACACATCTTGATCAACACATGCTTGTTTTTCTGTCTAACTGAACAGAAATAGCAGTGTTAATTTATGTGTTTTTGGGTTCACACAAAACCTCAGTGCTGGTAAATGCGAATACTGATCTTTTATTTTACTTTGAGGGCAACAGAATGCAGTAACTGTGTTTGGTGTGGTTTTGTTTTTCATCTGTCCATTGATAATATATGAATCCGTGTCTTCTGTGCCTGTCTCAGATAACATTAAGATGCACAATATCATATATTTTTTATTTATTTGTATATTTATCATTTATTTATATATTTATAATTTATTATATTATCAGCTGATATTGGATATTCATTGTGATCCTCATTTCCTCTATTTTACATTTAAATAACATTTGGCATAATCAATGTTTTATTTTCTTTATTTAAATTAAACTAATATTTTTTTATTTTCTATATTTAAATCAAACTAATATTTTTTTATTTTCTAAATTTAAATTAAACTAATAATTTATTAACACTAAAATCTAATGTAAATGCATTTTTATACGAAACAATATGTGTAAATTCATTTGTAGCATTTAAAACAATTGAGTTTATTGTTTTGTTTTTAAGACAAAATATTATAGAATTTGATATTAATACCATTTTATTTGACAGGAATATCCTTATAAATAGATGATATATATTGTCACATTGGTTAAGTATTTCAATGTTCATTCAAATACATTTCAGAATAGTATAAAATTTCTTTAGCATGCCAGATTCAGCACTTCAGTAAACACTATGAGGTGAATGTGTTTGGCTCATGTTTCAGTGTTGTGCATAAGGAATGAACAGCTCCCTGTTTTGGTTCCTCCCAGTGAATGTGTCTGTGCATGAATTTTGACACCATTAAACCTCCCTAACATAACGGCTCCAGGCAGTTATGAAAGTTGTTGATTGTGAGGAGTGATCGGTTTGTGTGGTTTGAGTTGATCTGTTTCCTTGACCTGACAAGTTTGTTACTGTTTCTGAATGCTGGCCAGCTGTGGACAGAGGAGGTGCAGCAGGTGAGTGCGCTCGAGTCTTTCCTCCCCTAACACTGGTGAAGAAAACGGAGAAAACCGCCCTGTTATCTGTGCTTGTGCTGTCTGACATCAACTCACCCTGCCACATGAATGAGGAACTGCTCTTACACACAACTCAAACATCATACTTGTGTCCAGAAGAGGGAGCTTCAAACCTGATTATATTACCACCTGACTCGGCTTACAGCAGCTTAGTGATTCTGAACCTGTTTGTGGGGATATATGTGATGTGATTTCGTGTGTGTGTGTTTCCCTTAGGCAGAGACAGAACTGAGGATAGCACAGAGTGAGTTTGACCGGCAGGCCGAGATCACCAGACTTCTGCTGGAGGGTATCGGCAGCACTCATGTACGCTCACACATCCTTTGTGTATATCAGTGATTCCTGCGCCACTGCAGCACCATGGCAAAATAATGCTTTACACAAGTTAAAGGGACAGTTCATCCAAAGGAAAATTCTGTCATCCTTTACTCACCCTCATAACAGCTCAAACCACTATGACTTATTTCTTGACACAATTTTTTTTTTTTTTTTCATATATAATTGGTGGTCCCCAAAATGGTTTAAAGGGATACTCCACTTTTTTTTGGAAATAGGCTAATTTTACCACTCCCCCAGAGTTAAACAGTTTGGTTTTACCGTTTTCGAATCCATTCAGTCGATTTTCTGGTATTTAGAAGAATATCAGTAACCAGACAGTTTCTGGTCTCATTGACTTCCATAGTAGGAAAAAAATATACTATGGAAGTGAATGAGACCAGAAATTCTTCTAAATATCAGAAAATCAGCTGAATACATTCGAAAACATTAAAACCCAACTGTTTAACTCTGGGGAGTGGTAAAATAAGCATATTTCCAAAAAAATTTGTAAATTTGTTCAGAATGTCTTTTGTGGTCATCAGAATAAAGGCAAATGGTCTTGGAACGACATGAGGGTGAGTTAATGATGCCAGAATGATATCCAGGGGTGCCCTAACCTGTTCCTGGCGATCTACCGAGCTGCAGAGTTCAGATCCAACCCTCATCAAACACGCCTGTCTCCTGTGCTCCTGAACTGGTGGGATTTTTCTTGTTCTCCCAAAACCAGTTCTGCGTAAACTAGTTTTATTGGTCATGTCAATCACAGTACTGATTGCCTACACCAAACGGATCCCTAAACGAACCCTCACTGTCACCTAAACCAACAATTAGCAGCAAGGCAGGATTTCTGGTGAAGTGGTTTGAATGGGGATCCCAATTCCAGTCCTTGCGCCTCTGCACTCTTCACAGTTTGTATCTTTCTCTTATCTCGCACACTTGATTCAGATCATCAGCTCATTAGAAGAGAGTGCTATGAACCTGGGTGCATCCTGATTGACAGACTCCCTATGCAGTGTTCACTGCTTAGCACCAGATATCTGATGAATTCACTTCACTTAACAAAATGTGTTCATTAACAACAACCAGCAATGTCATCAAACACAGATGGAACTCAAGTCGCACATATTAGACGGCTTTCGTTCATCTTCGAAACACAAATCGGTAACACTTTACTTGAAGGGGTGTGCATAAGACTGATATGACACCTTCATAACCATGACATGAGATATGTCTTGAATATGAAGTAAGGTTCATGCATGTTTATGACAACTGTCATTGTTTTTCGCTCAATAATAACATTTTGAATGCAAATATGACATTGTTTAAGATGTCTTTGTTAGGACATCTCGACATAAACCATGACGTCATAACCTGTCAGTGTCTTTGTCATGACAACTTGACATAAAATTACGTTAAACTGTCATGTGGTTGGCTTTGACATTGGCTGTCATAAGGCCATTATAACTGTGTCAAGATTAGTACAGTGGTACTAATTGAATTTGTCATTAAAAAGTTATAATGGCTTCATGACAGCCAATGTCAAAACCAACCACCTGATTATGTTAACCAATAAAACTAGGTGGTTTCTTAAGTTTGATAATTAATCTGCTATGTCATGTTTATGACAGGTTGGGTTGTCTTAGTAATGTCAAGTTGTCATGACAGACACTGCCGGTTATGATGTATTGGTTTATGTCAAGGTGTCATAACAAAGACATCTTAAACAATGTCATATTGCATTAAAAATGTCATAACTGAGCGAATGACACTTAATGACAGTTGTCATAAACATGCATAAAACTTCCTTCATATTCATATTCGTCTTATGCACACCCCTTCAAGTAAAGTGTTACTCACAATCTTTTTGAGAAAATCTGAGAGTTTTCTTCTGTCCCTTTATTTCCCAGTCTACGCAACTACCATTTTTGACACTTCAACAAGTTTGTAAAGAGATCGTAAAACTAATCCATGAGCTGAGTCATTTAGTCCAAATTTTCTGAAGAGACAAGATCACTTTGTATGATTAACAGATTGGATTTAGGCTTTTATTCACACATAAACATTCATCAACTCACACATCAGTTCACATAAATTCAATCTGTTCGTCATTGGAAAGCAGTCGAGTCTCTTCAAACAATTTGGACTATTGCTCAATTCATATGGATTCGTTTTACCATCTCTTTTTGAACATTTTAAAGCATCAAAGTGACTGTTGCGTCAATGGAGGGACAGAAGAAAACTCAAAAAGATGTTCATTTGTGTTTTCCGAAGATGAATAAAGGTCTTATGGGTTTGGAACGACATGAGGGTAAATTTTGGGTGAATAACCCTTTAAAGTTTATGCCATAATATAACATTATTATAATTTTTTTATTCTTTAACATAATAAAACAATAGAAGAGAACAGCAACCACAGATCACAAGCACTTTCCAACATAAACCAGATGCATGCATCGTCAAAAGACAACAAAAACAAATAGGTTCATATTGACCTGTCAAGCTTTTGCAAAAAGATAAGTGAAATCCTGGGAACTAAGTACTTAAAAAGGGGGTCCATATCTGATAAAACATATCAATTTTCCCCTTTGACCAGTTAGTATATTCCAGTAAAAGAAAATCAAATATGACTTTATGCCACTCTGACACTGTTGGCAGTTTATCAGAGATCCATTTAAGAAAAATACTCTTACGGGCAGCATAAGTAAGGAGGATTTCCTGTTTGAAGCACTATATTATTATCAGCAGCACCTAACAAAAATGAAGTAGATGTAGAGGGTGTGTTGGAATCTCCCATAAGATTCCCAAATGCACTATTAATTCACCTTGCGAAACACATGGTCTAATGAAACCCACCCCTCAACTGAGCCTGTCTGATAAGAGAAGTACAAAATGTACAGAGACTGGGACTGGGAACGCCTGCTCCTGAAGATCTTCAATCTGGTGCAGGTGTGTTTCATCAGGGCTGGAGCTCAACTTTGCAGGATAGTGGATCTCGAGGAGCTGGATTAGGCATCCCTGTCTTTACGCACCCCTTTACTTTTTTGGAAATAGGCTCATTTTACCACTCCCCCAGAGATAAACAGTTGGGTTTTACCGTTTTCGAATGTATTTAGCCGATTTTCTGATATTTAGAAGAGTATCAGTAAACAGACAGTTCCTGGTCTCATTGACTTCCAGTTCCATAGTATATTTTTTTTCCTACTATGGAAGTCAATGAGACCAGAAACTGTCTGATTACTGATATTCTTCTAAATATCAGAAAATCGGCTGAATGGATTCGAAAACGGTAAAACCCAACTGTTTAACTCTGGGGGGAGTGGTAAAATGAGCCTATTTCCAAAAAAAAAAGTGGAGTATCCCTTTAAGAGTTTGTATTAAATGTGATAGGTCCTGCAAAACAACTTCAAATTACACCCTTTTAAATTTGATGACTTCACTACACTCAATAACAAGACTACATGACTTTTAGTTTAAATGAGTTTGCAAGGGAATTACTTGTAGTCTTAATGACTTTTATTAGCCTGTTCTAATGAATAAGAAAAAAAGGCTCATTCTTTGTATCAATTTCAATAAATGTCTCTTATGAGCCATTCTTTTTAATGAATGAGTCAAAAGGCTCATTCTTTTAATCTTAATATATGATGCTGTTTGTCAGAACTGATTGACTAATTCTCATTTGAATAAATGATAGATTCTGTGGGAAACACTGATCTATAATCATGTCTATTTTATGTATGTGATGCACGCTGACGGTTGTGCTCTTCTGTTTCATCATCAGGCTCATCACTTGCGCTGTCTGAATGATTTTGTGGACGCTCAGGCTGCATATTATGCCCAGTGTTACCAGTACATGGTCAATCTGCAGAAACAGCTGGGAAGGTCGGCTCACTTTTGTATCTGTATGCATTTCTTTGTAATATATATATATATATATAAAATTTTCAATAATTTCTCATTCAACGAAATGTCATATGGCGTCACCTATATGACGCCAAAGGAAGAGAACGGGCTCATTATTTTACAGCAGTTCCTCTGTTTCTGCTAAACATTCAAATTGCGATGTAAGGAAAATATGTACATTGTTATTTCTATATTTAAAGCACCAGTAGTAACTGCTCCCTTATTTCCTCTAGCTTTCCATCCACGTTCTCTAATAACAATCAGCCGGCTAGCAGCTCCTCCGCCAGCGTCTCGGTTCCCTCGGCCCCGCCGGCCGCCTCGCTGCCCGCTCCGCCACCCAGCCAGACCTCACCCGCGCTCAACGAGCTCCGCAGCACCTCGGGCACCCGTAAGGCCCGTGTGCTCTACGACTACGACGCTGCCAGCAGCAGTGAGCTCTCTCTGCTCGCTGATGAGGTGCGCCTTCATCTCCGTACTCAGATTTAGGCATTACATGGATCATTAGGAGTCTTAACTTGTATATGTGTGCTCATTTCTCCCTGTCAGGTGATCACCGTGAGCAGTGTTCCAGGCATGGACTCTGATTGGCTGATGGGGCAAAGGGGCAATCAGAAAGGCAAAGTGCCAATTACTTACTTGGAGCTGCTCAATTAAGATCACATTGTAGATGTGGGTTCGACAAGAGTAACACTCCAGATGTGATCTGAGAGAGATCAGAATTTAATGTACCGCAAAGCAATATAAAAGTCTTCTACACTGCCATTTCCTGTTGTGTGAATGCCTCCTCTGCCATTGGAGGGGCGGCATAAGTAGCCTTACAGTAACGAACAGCAGTCCGAGGTTGCAAACTATTAATCGGATTTATGTGCCAACTGATTTTTTTTTACTGCTAAACTAATTGATTTTGCTATAATGTGCTATGGTGCTCAAATAAATATTATATAAACTATATAACAGTGTTGCTGTTTCGTGTGATCTTTTATTTTTCTTTTAAAAAATATTTGGTAACACTTTATTTTACATGTTATATGTACTTACTGTAGTAATAATAACCTTGAACCTAACCGTAATCCTTACTATATAGTATGTATGTGTTGGGAATTATTAAGTATTTGAATGTATAATTCGACTGTAACAAGGACACCTTAAAATTAAGTGTAACCTAATATTTTGATTTGTCTTTTTGCTTAATATAATTATGTCTTGTTTCAAGGTCAGACAAAACTAAACACTGGATGCTAATTTTGAAAAAACCATTCTAACAGTGAACTGATGTTAGCATGAATCTTGACCACTGGGTGTCAGTATTTTCATTTTGTAAAGATTTAAATGTAAACACTGCAGCAAATGTCTACTAGATACATCTTATTAATAATGAAGAGTGCAATTTCACACTGTAGTGGCACCAAACAGAACTGCAACAATATTGACAGTATGTGGAAACACTTCTTTTGTCTTCCATTGTTTTGGAAATGCTGTGTGATTAACTAAAGATAAAATGATTAGAATTGTTTTCATTAATTGAAATAGATTAAATTAAATTAAAATATATATAAAAAAATCAATGAATGATAGAAAGATAGATAGCAAAAGCTGTTATTAACTAACAATAACACTATTAAAATTGAAAGATTAAATAAAATGTAAAAAAAAACATTATATTAAAGGGATAGTTCACTTTGAAATTAATTTTTGATATGTTTTAGCTTACCTCAAGGGCATCCAAGATGTAGGTGTCTTTGTTTCCACATTATTTTCAATTTTGACATTTTTCAGTCAAACTGTTGTTGTCTGCCAGTCATATAATGCAGGTATGGAGGTCCACGTTAAAGAGCATGCACAGAGAAGTCCAAATTAAACATGATTTAATGACTCGTAAATGTAAGTACACATTGATGGCCTAAGACACGAAACTAGCTGTTTGTGCGAGAAAACGAACCGTATTTATATAGTTTTTACCTCGTGTAATAATCACAGTCTGAATCAGTTCATTGTTCCGCCGGAAGTGATCGCTTGCGTGTGACGTCACTCAATATTTACACGGAGATTTCGGAAGTTTTACCTTTTACTAAACATATTTAGATATACCGAAATCGTGTTCCATTGCGGTTTCCCGTATATCTAAATATGTTTAGTGAAAGTTAAAACTTCCGAAATCTCTATATAAACAAAGAGTGACGTAGGCGCGCAAGCGATCACTTCAGGCGCATGCGCAGACCGAAACGCCCGTGCCGTCAGTCAGATCAATTTGGCAAGGCTTTGATTACACGAGGTAAACATGATATACATACTGTTCGTTTTCTCACACAAACCGCTCGTTTCGTGTCTTAGGCCATCAATGTGTACTTTCATTTACGAGTCATTAAATCATGTTTAATTTTGACTTCTCTGTGCATGCTCTTTGAGGTGAACCCAGGGTGGACCCCCTTAACCTCCAGTGAATGACTGATAGACAACAACGGTTTGACCGAAAAATCTTGTGGAAACAAAAACACCTTAATCTTGGATGCACTTGAGGTAAGCTAAAACATATCAAAAATTAATTTCAAAGTGAACAATCCCTTTAAAAACTGAAATGAGAAATGTTGCCTTGTCAACAAACTAAAATCAATAAAATATTAAAATTACCAAGACAAAAAACAAAAACAAAAAAAAGCTAAATAGAAATTATAAAACTAATATAAATGACAAAAGCACAATTAAAAACATAAAAATTACACCTGGAAATGAAACCTCATTTAAAAAAATAATTAATACTATAATAGTATAAATAATACAAAAACAACACTGTGCAAAGATAATAGTAGTCATTGGAACTGGAATAGAAAGCATTTCAACATCAACAATAATAAAATCAGTTTTACGTTAACCAAATGTCAGATTCATAACACTTACAAATGCTTTTTATTAACATACTTGGTTTTGTGGTCAAAGATAATCATATACATATTTGACAACTGTCGAAGATACTCTTTCATTTTATAGTACCATTATCTATCAGAATGACAGAATATTGAGAATTTTATTTGGGTCGAAAATGTCGAGTTTCACAGCAAATTCATGCAACCCCCCATCATAACATCCGGGTTACGTTTGGAATGGCACTTCAGAGAGAAGTTCGTTACAGATAGGAGTCATTATTTAGGCAGCAGAATTAAATCGAGCACGTACATGAAACACTCATCTGAAACGGTGAGTACCGATGGGACTTCGTCGAAAAGCTTCATGAGGAGAAAGTTCGGAGATAGTTGCATACACAGACTGGCATGATATCGACGGACTTCGGGTGACAGCCTTGAGGAAGTTAATACAGTAATAAATCTCGACACGGTCTACTTTCGTCTTGTGCGGGACCCCCTGAAACTTGAAACTTTATCATGGGTTGCACAAAAAAGTATCAAATTACATACAAAAGCTAGTAGTTGGGCACTGTGGATAGCTGGCATACATTGAAAACTTGAAAATAAATTAACCGACATATAAAGAAGTCCTCTCTTCAAGCGGGGCTCTTTTGATGAAGCGTGTCCGTACGATAACTTGCAGCAGTAGTCGTGTTAGTCGGGAAGTGGAGCGGTTGAGCAGTAGTAGCCGGACAACGTAGCAGGAACGCCCCCCCTCCCGCGATGTTCGGCAACGTCCGGGAGTGATGCTGTGATTGTAACAAACCCATAAAGTGCTTTCGCAATTGGACAATACAAATAAAAATGTTACACTGGGATAAAAACACAAGTTCAGGCACAACCGCGAATGTCCCTCATTTTTTGAACGGTGTCAAGCGTCCGATGTTGTGCCAGAAATTGGAGGTCTTGCGTTTGGGTTCGGCCAACATGATGACCTGCTGCTGGGGCAGGGAGGTGGGGAGCGTGGGGTGCTTCTGACGCAGCAGGAAGTCATAGTAGGGCCTGGTCACAGCTGTGGGGAGGAGGACATAAACATGGGGTCAGGACACCTGAGAGTTCGAACAGGACACACCCAGACAGCGGATCTGGGCCGACACTGTGTTGCTTGTCTGGGACATTATACATGTAGACATGTTGGTTTAGTAGACGAGCATGTTCCGGTCGGTTGGTGCTGATATTATTAAATGTTATAATGCTGTAATGGTTTTAGTGTGTGCTTATTAGGGAAGGATGGGTTGCCAGTGAATTATGTAAACTAGAACAGTTACTGTAAATAAAGAGCTGGGTATCGATACAGATTTCCTGATTCATTTGAATTTTGATGTCGATCGGTTTGATCAGCTAATGCTGTACATTTCGTACATTACAAAAATAATAATATAATATCAACATGGTCTAAACTGTGCAGTTCAATTGGCAATTATTGTAATAAAATGTATAAACTGCTCTGTGAAAACTGTGATAAGTGGTTATTTATTTTATGATTGTTTGTGAATCAGACAACATTTTTTGCTCATCATGTTTTTTGATTCACTAAAACGGTTTAAAAGAATCATTCATTTGTGAATTGGACTATACTGGTTGTGCTCTGTTTTTGATTCACCAAAAAGAACCAGATTTAATAGAGCCATTTGTTAGTAAATCAGACTACATTGGTTACTCTGTATGTTTTTGATTCACTAAAAATAACCAAACATAAAAGAGTCGTTTGTTTCTGAACTGGACTACACTGGTTGTGCTCTATATTTTTGATTCAGTAAAAAGAACCGAGTCATTTGTTCATTAATCTGACTACACCAGTTTTGCTGCATGTTACTGCAACAACTCAATAAAAAGAAAGAAAGAATAAAGAATCAATATTGATATCATTCAAATGAAGATAAGGTTAATCTGAAAATCAGTATTTTTACCCAGCCTCAGATAAATAAGCGAATAAGTCACACTAACACACTCTGGAATTACCCTGGACTACTCGATCGGCTCTCTACTTTGAGAGGACACCCAGGATATTGCCCTGCGCAGGACCCCAGGAGGCACCCTAACCCCCCGCCCCTGCCTACGCTGAGGGCCTTCAGGGAGGAGAGGTGAAGTTAAGGTGGCCCTGGGAACCAGAGGTCCTGAAGGTTCGGAAAAACGTAGGCACTTGGAAGTTTTTGGGTGAAGAAGTGATGGAGATCTGAGTGCCACAAGGTGCTGTAAAGCTAATGCTGTTCCAGGACAGCGCGGTAATGTTGAAACAACACACAAACATCATCAAACACGTGCTTGTGAACAGATGAACAGTGACCACACATGGCACAACTCATTCACTACATGATAAACTGAAATTATTTGATACTGTATCCTGAAAACTGGGCTCTCTAGCATACAATCATACATAATAGAACAGCTGAAATTCACCTTTGGGCTTCCCTGTTGGGTGACTTTTAGATGCATTCAACATGGCCTGCTTCTTCTGGACCTCTGTGATCGTAAAACCTGTTTGGAGGACGAACAAAAGCATTGATAAACTTGTTGATTATCATTCTTAATCAACTGTGGAGAACTGACACGTTCGTCATTAACAAATATATAATGATCAGCAAATATAAATGCAAACGTCATGAAAAAAATACAACTCTCAGGGCCCTATCTTGCACCAGTGCAAATGACTTTGTACACGTGACGCATTTATCATTCCTATTTTGCACCCGCGCAAAGCGGACTTTTACGTCAGTAAACTAGGAAATGAACTTGCGCTTAGGGTTGGGTATCGTTTGAATTTGAACGATTCTGATTCCGATTCCTTGTTTCGATTCCGGTTCCTAACGATTCTCGATTCCGATTCTTTTAAGAGGCAGGGTCAAAAAAGTTTAGCTAACCTTGCTAACCAACGGCCTTTCTGAAGGAAATACTCCTTTGTAAAAATACTCCTTTTGTCACAAATTTTGCATTTTGCCGAGATTTCGTTATTTTTAGAAAAGCGAAGCCACACTTTGGATCGCCGACGTAAGGTACTCATGTTCGACTCGCGTGGTTATGCCAACACTTCCGGTAGACGCTTCTTCGTTGGTGTTGTTCAGCGGTTTCTTCTTCCGCTCGGCGGACTGTGAATATTGAAACTAGGAATCGAAATTTTAACTTTTGAACGATTCCGGGAAAAACGAAAAGTTAGTCCCGGTTCCAATCGATACTCGATTCTCGATACCCAACCCTACTTGCGCTCCCTGGGCGGGTCAGTGCAAACAATCCCTGGTGCTATTTTGCAGTTCCAGAAAACAATTGGGCCAATGATCAGAAAAAAAAAACAGTCTAAAGTCACTGGCGTGTTGCGCGTACATTCAGATGCTATTTTAAGCACGCATGCTTGGCCATAATACATACTGTGTGAACAACGCGCATACACTGTAGACGATTCCCTCATCTACACAGATGCATTTTACTTTTTGCAAATGATACATTATTATAAGAAAAAATATTTAAACACAAGGGAAATTATTGTTTCCAAATGCTGACCAAGTATTTGAAGGTTGAGCTCATGAGATACTGATACACAGGAACCAATTAGCTGTGCCCTTTAGATAACGATGTAATTACGAGCAGGCTGAGTTAAATGACCTATTAGCCTGCGCCATTTAGAGTTTCATGACAGAACTTTGTATATGATCAAATGGCACTGCAAAGTGTTTGAATGTACATTAGCGGTAGTTTGGTTATTATCGCAAACTGAGAGGAAGCACTAAAATTACTAACTGGAATAAAAAAAAAACGAAACCTGAAAAATAAAATCTAATTCAAAATATTAACCAAACCTGCAATACTTTATAAATAATATTAATGAAAAATATGACACTGGTTGCCATTGCTAGCTGGTTGCTTACTGGCCAGGTTATGTCATAAACATTTTTGTTTATGGAGAACAAATGATGCATTATGAGTTGTAGAAAAATCTAAAAATGATCCATGTAAAGACAATAAAAATCAATGCTTTTCGTTCTGCTTCTGAGAGCCTGACTGAAGAAGTGCTGTTCACCTGTTTCGAGGTCGTGCTGGACCTGTTCCCGTTCATCTGCAAAGGCTCGCAGCCAGCGCTGCTTCTGCTCGGGTTTCTTGGCACACAGGAGGTGGACCTCCTCTCCTCCGGGAGAACACAATTTCAAGGCATTCTTCACACTCACGTTAAAGTCCTTCTCCTTCCCATCCTCTACATCCACCACTTGCATCTGATCCATGTCTAACCGACCCTTGTAGTACAGGATGTCTCTCCGAAGCAGATCCTGGGATGCCAATCAAGACATGAACAACTTTAATACTGCCTAGAGCCACTCACATAAAAAAAAAAAAAAACATATGCCATAAATAACAGTGGTTCTGCTCTCACTGGCCTGGCGAGTGACTGACCTTCTTACAGAAAACCAATTGGTGGTCAAAGAGGAAGAACATTCGCTGCTGGCCTTTGGCCTGTGGCTGGGAGATCTTGGTCAGGTCTCCTGAGAAAATCAGATCAGAGCTCCTGCTCAAGATGTCTTCACCCTAATGAAGGGGAAAAAGAGCCTGTCAGACCACAAACATACCTGGAGTGAATAAGTGTGTGAACTCTACACCCATGATGCTCCTGTGATTTACCTCCCAGTCCTCAATAGAGCTCTGCCACTGGGCGATTTTGTCAATATTCTCCAGACGCCTCTTCCTCTCATTGATCAGTCTGGCCACATTCTTCATTGCGTTTAAGGCAGCTTCCACATCCTTATAATCTCTGAAAAGCAGAATATTTGAGATTTTGTATAGCTGTAAAATGTCAATAAGCAAAATGTGAACCAAATCGTTCAAAAAACTGGTTCAGCAAATTGTCTTCTTCAATTAGTGGTCATGTATGTATGTAATTTTAAATGGCTATTTGTATAAATGAACAAAAATAATGCTCCTTTGTTTATTTGTGAATAATAATCATTCAGTGAATATTTTTCATAGAGTAGATTATTTATAACAATTTTTTGCTGTGTGTGTGACTTGAAACAAGTTTCTTATGCTCCTTAAGGCTGCATTTATTTGATAAAAAAAAATAAAGTAAATTTGAAATTATTAAAATGATTACACTCATGATTAATAAATAGTTCAAAAGAACAGCATTTATTTGAAAAAGAATCATTACAAAAATATAAATATAAATATATAAAGTGTGGGGGGAAATGTTTCATTTCGTAATTATTACAGACCTTTTCCATGTCTATTATTTACCATACATTTTGATGCAGTTAGTTTCCTATGAGTGAAAAGCACTTCGGTACAAATCTGGTTTACACTTGTCTTTTCAGTGTGTGTAGACAGCATCCAGATACAAGTCACATGTTAATGCCAAGTGTATATGAAACCTCTGCATCTCTTTCATCATATACATGAAGTGGTATCTACACAAATTCTCAATCAATCAATCTCTTAAAAACAAAAGTTTTTTTTTTTTTTTTGCAGTGATGCATGCAATAGAATCACTTGTAGAGTAGAAAAGATAAAAGTACCATTTTGTAATCTCCCCAAAGAACCTTTCAGTGAAGAACCATTTCTTCTTAGTGTGAAAAACATTTAAAAATCAAAAGACCCCTTTTCCAGAATAAAGAACCATTTGTGCAATGAATCGCTGCCAATAAAAAAAACTAAGGCCTGGTTCCACAGCCAGGGCGAGATGACACAGGCAAAAATGCTGAGAAAAATACAGCAAAGTACCTGTGCTGTGGGTTGGTGTACTTCAGCAGTTCAGCCAGCTGAAGAGGGTACTTGCAGATCTTCTGAACAGGAGTAAGCAGGAATCCATCCAATGAAATATCAATCATCTTCTGGAGCAAGCGACAGGCCTCAAAGAAGAACACATACTTCTTGATCTTCATCAGTTTGGAGAGCTGAACGCAGGCATTGGGGTGGTTGTTGCAATACTCCGAGTAGATCTGGAAGTTTGTTTGCTGGATGGAAACAAGCGAAGAGAACACAATAAAAATCCAAGCGTAAAAACGTTATCCTCCATCAGCGCTTACATCGAAGTCAGCTTACCTGTTCTAAGAAGCAGGAGCCAATCTCGCTGAGGTGAGGATGGTCTTTGTTAAATTTTTTCTCCAAGGCTTTGACGAATTTCTTCTGGAAGCGGTAGAGCTCATCGATGTTGCCAAAGATAGTGCGCAGTTGCTCCTCGGTAAACATGTCTGTCCTCTTTCGGCACTGTTTTATATAGCCCTGGAAGCCAAGGAAAATATGTCAAGTAATGGTTACGGAACAGCTACTCTTATGTGAATCCAGATGTTCTTTCAGCATGTAAACACAGTGCCATTATAGACTGTAACAAGATCTAAACACTGAGGTAGAACCGATCGATCAGAGTCATGTGGTAAACTGACCTCACAGATGTCTTTCAGGTGTTTGATATAATCCCTCTCTGTGCTCATGATCTCATTGATGACGTTGGCTCTCATCTGCTCCTTGCAGGGCAGGCCGGGCCCTAAAGGGCCCCCCATGCTGGCTCCACCCCCCTCCGAGGCCCCGTCTAGATGGGCTAAGTATTCCTCCATGGGCTCATCTTGGTTCACCCGTAACTATCAATAACAATGGTTAAGGGTTAGTTCACGATTTTGAAATATGACAAAATGTCTGGCATTTACTGCTAAATGTTGAAAGTGCAGTTCCTTTTATCAATGCCCTAGCCAAAAAGAATAGAGGTGCATCGAAGACCCCTCAATGTAGCTTAATGTAATAGTGATGTCATTATGTGACAGTAATCTAATTTTTTTTTATGAGCAGAAAGTCTGCTTTCTTTTACCCGAACAAAGCTGGCAGGGAACCAGCCCTCGCTGTCCAACACCCGGCCCCACCACCACTCCTTGTTTGTGGCGTCCACTACTTCGATGACGTCTCCAGCTTTGAAGCCCAGCTCCTGGTCGTCCATAGTGACATGGTCCCATAGAGCCTCCGCACACACGCTGCCATCACTGATCAGCTATTGAAAAAACACAAGATGAAGGCAAAACTGAATGATGAAATATAACTGATCATATTAGATGAGCTACAGGGATCTTCAACGTGTGTGAATGAAAATGTCGGTTTCATTTGAGAGGTTTCATAGTCTTAAATTCTTGAAGCCCATTCACGCCAAGAACGATAACTATAAAGATAACTATATTAGTGTCCACACAAGCGGACGATATCGTTCTGTTTATTCTAAGCGCGTGCTTGTCTGTCACTTTAAATGCTCAAGCTCGTTACAGCAGATTTGCAATTGCAGATTTCGAACAGAGATGGCGACAAAGAGTAAAAATGCAGGACTGCAGCTTTAATTTAAAAGTTGTTATAATATTTAAATGTTCTATCATGTTTAATACAGTACATGATGAATAAAAACAATCTGATAATTTGCAGTTTAGGCATTGTTTTCAAATATACTGTAATGTCCAATGAGTATAATTGTATAATTACTCATTATATCCCCAAAAATAAATTCACACATTAATTTGGAGATTCAATGTGGAAATATATTTATCAGACAGTACGCAATATAATGTTAGGTGTGATTAATTAAAGAAACTTGTGTGATTTTTGACTGATTAACATCCCTTATACATACACAATACTCAATACATCTGGTGACAAAAGGTGAATTGTTTTGCCTTGCTCCTGTATGCCAAAAAAAAAAAAAACCACCATGCAACAATACATAGCATTCAATTTCACAGTCTGTTCCAGCATTTCAGTGGTATAGTGTGTTATCAAACAAAGATACCCAACCCTTAATTCTGTGCACTTAACCAAAACCAAACTGCAATGTATCATTGGAGGAAGCATTGCCAATTAAGCTTTTTCTGTCTGCTTTTTTCCCTGAGTGGTCATTTTACGGTTCCGCTTTTTGCTTGCAAGGACTCGTTTGGCAAAGAAAACAAAAAGTGGGGTGATGTATTGCCCCACTGTTCAACTTGGCTATAGCGAAAATTAAGTGAAATCCTGGCAAGCTCAACAGCTTCCATTAAACCATTTCTACTGCACAGCTAAACGTGATCTATTGGTGCTGATCTAATCATCACACTTGGTTCTCTGTCCACACATCGTTGATGGACTCGAGGGCTGAACGGTGAACATACACCCCCTGAATCCAGAGCCCTGCATTCTCATCACAAGATCTGTGCCTATGTACCCTGTTGCCTAGCGACACACCCACATGCTTTCCCATGTGCCTCCTCTTCACAGCCTGTGAGTTACCGCTTCTTGGTTTATTTGAAGACACTATCAGGAAAAAGCCCTGGAGCATATTGTGCAAACATATAACAAAACGTAATGAAAACATGCTGAATGAATACGTTTTTAAAAAAAATTAGCATTATAGTATTCAAATGTTTCCACTATCAGAGTAAATACAGAACATTCTTTGCTGACCCAAAACTATGCCAAGTGCATTGGCCAAACGATTTCCTTCTGGATGTTTATTCCTCACCGAGACGCCATGCTGCAATACCCCCAGCATAACCGTGTCAAGCTCATCTGTGTGACCTCTTTCTCTGCAGAGTCCTGCTTGCCAGCAAAAGTATTGTGCAGATAGATCCCTCTGGGACACATAAAAGAACGCCTCACATGGGCTCAAGGCACAAGCTGTCAGTTATACAACAAAAACAAGCAGAGTCATTCAAAGTTTCCCACACATAAACACCCAAACATACTCACAAAAGCTTACAAAACGTCTGAAGAAGCCCTTTAGATGACTTGAAATCAAAGACTGACCCCTACAAGCCACTCAAGAGTGGTTACGGGCTGGTGAATAATTCACGCAGTGCAATCTCGGCACATTACTTCTGGTTGCATGCCGCCAACCACACACCCATTCTGGTTACCTGCACTGTGATGTCTGCATCCCGAAAACCCATCCACGAGTGAGCGAGAGGGACCAACTTTCCCTCCCCCTCCTCCTCACCGTCGTCTTCCTCTCCACCCCTCCCCTCGCTCTTCCTCCTCACTGCGGCTGCGCTCTACTGAAAGGCCAGCAGGAACATCAGCACTACGTTGATGATGACCAGCAACATCATGATGACGAACACCACCACCTTCTGGGCCTCCGGGCTGAGGTTGCAGCGCAACAGGAAGTGACTCAGGCCCTGCCGAGACGCTGTTCGCTGGCCTCCGCGAGCCATGGCGCCGGAAGCCCCCTCGCCTAGAGGTCTTGCCGCGAATGCTCGACGGCACACAGTGTGTCGGCCGGATCCGCTCTGTGTTCTCTGTGAAGCGTGAGGGGGAGGGGGAAGAGCCTCCACGTCCACAGTTACCTGCTCACTTCCTTTCCGTTCCCTTCTCGCTCTTTCTCTCTTTTTCTCGCGTGCGGGCAATCTTCCTCCTCCTCCTCCTCCTCCTCGTCCGTCTCTCCCCTCAATCTTTTCCCCGCGCGCTGCTGATGTCAGGAGCAGGGGTGGATGCGTCTCTCCGCCTCCATGTATTCTTCTCCGTCTATGCTTTTTCTGTCCCTTCCTGTCTGTTTTTCTCTTTCTGTCCTCCTTCCGCTGCCTCCCCCTCGTTCTCGTTCTCGTCCTCCTGCTCTGCTTGAACACACGGCCGTTTTAATTCCCTTGGATCTGATTAAAGCACTTGGAATCCTTTCTCATTTCACCGTCTCTTTTGCAAAAAGCAAACCTGAGGGGTGGAAATGGTTGCTGCATCTGTGCTTAGCGGCACTAGCAAAAACCATGCATCCATCTTCCCGAATTGACTTCTGTTTTTGCTCTGGATTTTTTTCCTCTTATCCTTCCCAGCCAATCGGCTGGCGGTGCTGTGAAGCGTATCCAGGATACCAGAGTAGTGGAGGCCGGATTTAGCGGCAGCGGGAGGGAGGCGACTGTGGGGGGAGGGATGTGAGAGAATGCACCACAATACATCCTTTCTATCCTGGCGTGTCTCCATTGGTCGAGCCGACTGCCAGTCAATTGCACTTCCCGACGTCTAAAAGCAAGCACGTCCTAGGCAGTGCTAGTGCTGCTGGAGATATTAATTAAAGGCTGCATGATGTGCCAGACACCTCTTGAGCTTTCATTTCCTGACCCGGGCCGGTGTCGACGAGGTAGGATTAACGCAGTCATTCTCACTTGTCTTGTTCCCGTGCATCAATGTGTGCACAACTAATGGGATTAGTAAAGGACTCTGATTCCATCAACCTTCTGTCTCTCTCTCTCTCTCTCTCTCTCTCTCTCTCTCGGCCGCAGAGCCTCATCCCCACTGTCACAGTGTCACACAGCTTGATACTTCCTTTCAAATCAGCACCTGTCTTTTTGACACATGCACAAGCAAAACAATCACTCACCCTCTCCAACACTGAAACTAAATATCCTCCCCAACACAATGGTAATGAACAATAAACCAAAAAAAAAAAAAAAATGAGAGTTGTGCTTGTCTATGTAAAAGAATTTGCTAGATCACTGTGGTTGGTTGACAGGTTGCTGCTATGCAGTAGCTAAGGTGTTCAAAATGGTCTTTGGGTTGTTGCACTGCAAAACGGCTAACAATCAGTATTTTTGTCTGTTTTCTAGTAAAACTATTTCCAAATGTCCTTGAAATAATAAAAAGTACATTAAAAGTGCAAAATAAGACAAAAATGTAATTAAGTTCATTTCTTAAGGGGCAAGAAAATGTATTTCTAATCTTACAGTAGCCTACATTTAGGCTAAATGCAAATGTGGATGAACTAGCCTGCTAGAGATCAAAACTATATTTTGTATCCAGCATTTAAAATTGCATTTTAAAATACACTGATCAGCCACAACATTAAAACCACCTGCTTAGGCAACACCTTCAACTCTTGGTCATGAACTTTTGCAGAAAAATTTCACACACACACACACACACACACACACATATATATATATATATATATATATATATATATATATATATAGACCATTTTGCAAGATGTAAACAACACTGGTCCAGAAGCACTTCCTGTTTCAGTTTTTTAACACTACATAAAAGCTGGGATAAAATACAACTAAAAGAACCTATAAAACTGAATCAAAAAGTTAAACAAACATCTTTAAGATGTTTTATTTACATGTGCAATAAAGAAAACAGTTACAAACTGAAACAGGAAGTGTTTCTGGACCAGTGTTGTTTACATCTTGCAAAATGGTCTATATATATATATATATATATATATATATATATATATATAAAATGGAAATTTTTGCCTATTCTTCTAGAAGTGCATTTGTGAGGTCAGGCACTGATGTTGGACAAGAAGCTCTAGTCTCAGCTCTAATTCATCGCAAAGGTGTTCTATCGGGTCGAGGTGCAGGCTAGTCAAGTTCCTCCACACCAAACTCGCTCATCCATGTCTTTATGGACCTTGCTTGGCGCACTGGTGCGCAGTCATGTTAGAAAAGGAAGGGGCCATCCCTAAACTGTTCCAACAAAGTTGGGAGCATTAAATTGTCCAAAATATCTTTGTATGGTGAAGCATAAAGAGTTCCTTTCACTAGAACTAAGGTGCCAAGCCCAACCCCTGAAAACAACCACACACCATAATCCCCCCTCCATCAAACTTTACACTTGCAGTCAGACAAGTACCATTCTCCAAGCAACCACTAAACCCAGACTCATCCATCGGATTTCCAGACAGAGAAGCGTGATTCGTCACTCCAGAGAACACGTATCCACTGCTCTAGAGTCCAGTGGCGGCGTGCTTTATAGCACTGCATCCGACGCATATTGCACCGCACTTGGTGATGTAGCTGCTCGGACATGAAAACCCATTCCATGAAGCTCCCTACGCACTGTTCTTGAGCTAATTTAAAGGCCCCACAAAGTCTGTAGCTATTGACTCTGCAGAAAGTTGGCAATATATTTTATTTTATTTATTTATTTTTGCAGAATGGGCTGCCTTAGCTCCGCAGTAAAACAATGACACTTTAAATTTGCCTGTTTACTCTTTACTGGGTTCTTTACCAGGACAGAACTGCTTAAAAAACAATAACAACAGCATATGCACACGGCTTCTGTGCAGCTCAGTGCACATCAAGCTCCCAGAGGCCTAGCCGTTGATTCGATTTTTCTGCAGTTTCTAAATAAAATGCTGCATGGAGTTACTGAGCGGCTTTCTATAATTATACCAAACAGTCATATATCAAACTCCGACACTGCATATTCTCTGAAATTCTTTGTAGATAAGAGCACAAATTCACCCTCATTCATGCTGAAGATGATGGGAGAAGGACAGTGGCAGCAGGTCATACTGCTGGTCTCAGGCCTCAGGAGAGGGACAGATGCGTAGTAGACTATTAAAGGGTTAGTTCACCCAAGTCATTAATTGCTCACCCCCATGCTGTACCAACCCCGTAAGACCTTCATTCGTCTTCGGAACACAAATGAAGATATTTTTGATTAAATTTGAGAGCTGTATAACTACCACATTGGCTGCCTAAGGGACTGCCTCTTGACGGCCCAGAAAGTCAATGAAGAAAATGTTTAAATATCCCAAGTGACTAACGTGGCTCAACTATATGTTTATCAAGCGACGAGAATAATTTTTGTGCGAAAAAACAAACAAAAATAACGAGTTTATTCGACTATTCCTTTTCTTCCTTGTAGGCCAGAAACGAGACTTCCTTAGATTTCCACGACGCATGAGCGAGAATTGCTATCTTTTTCAACTACTTCAGTTCAGTTCTCGCGCATGCGTCGTGGAAATCTAAGGAAGTCTCGTTTCTGGCCTACAAGGAAGAAAAGGAATAGTCGAATAAACTCGTTATTTTTGTTTGTTTTTTCGCACAAAAATTATTCTCGTCGCTTGATAAACATATAGTTGAGCCACGTTAGTCACTTGGGATATTTAAACATTTTCTTCATTGACTTTCTGGGCCGTCAAGAGGCAGTCCCTTAGGCAGCCAATGTGGTAGTTATACAGCTCTCAAATTTAATCAAAAATATCTTTATTTGTGTTCCGAAGACGAACGAAGGTCTTACGGGGTTGGTACAGCATGGGGGTGAGTAATTAATGACTTAATTTTCATTTTTGGGTGAACTAACCCTTTAAATTACAGAGACTGAATTTCAACATGTATAACGACTAAATAAAGAGCACATCCTGAACTAAAGTGGAGCCTTGAAAGCTTGTCTGAAACCAGTTATCTTCATACAAAAACACGTTCTGTTTTGGCTGTAAGTCCTTTAAGTCCTTGGGTTTCAAACGCAATCTACCGACTAGGGCTGCACAATTTGGGGAAAATGTCATATTGCTATTACTGAGGTCAAAATTACGATTGCGATATGCAATCTTCGTCATACTCATATTCTAGTCAGAACGTGAGCCTGATACTGCTCCATAGGGCTTTGATTATGAGGGGTGTCTTAAAGCCACACTATGCAGGATTTCCATTTTTGTCAAACTGTGACCCCTAGAGTCGCTGTGGAGTACTTGCACAGATGTCTCCGCACTCACGGCCTGATCCCCTCCCCCTGTATACCGGTACCTGTTCAGTAGGACGGAAGCTGTAACGAGTGGAAATAAGGTGTGGCCCCTTTAACTCTTTCCCCGCCAGCGTTTTTAAAAAAAGTTGCCAGCCACCGCCAGGGTTTTTGACGATTTTCGCTAAATTTGAATGCCCCGCTGAATATTTTCTTCCATGAATATATGAAGATGATATATATATAAATAAAGATCTGAGCCTCTGCTTTTAGGCAAAAAAAAAACGTTTTTATTTTATCTTCATCTGTTCTTTTTTTATTGCCTCTTGAACAGAGGTAGGTTTTGTCAAAAACACAACATTTTGGACAAAAAACTGAGAAAAAGGTATTTTTATCAAACAAGTGCATTTAAAAGCAGAATACATTCAGATGTTGTTTCCTTCATATATAAAAATTTCCAAAATAAATTAAAAACATAAAATAAATGTAAAATATATCAAATTTCCCAGGATGTAAGGGAAATGTAACTTTTGCAATAAAACTTCTGCCTCTGCCTCTCTGTGTTCTACCTGTGAATAATGAATAATTGGAATTACAATAAACAGGCCTAGACACACACACACACACACACACACACACATTACAATGCGGTAAATGTGCACAAAGAGAGAAATAATTTGACAATTACACCTTCATATTTAGACACCCACACATAAATGCCTGCACACACACATACATATTATAGTGTCATAATATTATACGATCTATCTGCGGCACGTCCATGGCTAGAACTTTCTGTGACAACATGTGCATCTCTCTCACTGACTACTTCGTCCCGATCAGATTCAGAATTATCAAATAAAGAGTGATCGGACTCCGAGTCCATTAACCTCCAGTACTTCAGCCATATACCTCTGCATTGTCTGATACATTCTCAGTTCTCACTACTCCACTGTTTGAGACGATTGCAATCTGTTTCTCTGATCAAAGAGTTGCGCACTCATTCAGGACATGCGCGCGGGTCTTCCTTACCGTATACCACCTAAAACACGGATACCCGGAAAATTCCGTGTTTGGCGCAGATGCGTTTTTTCATTAAACCCGGAAAATTCCGTGTTTGGCGGGGAAAGAGTTAAGAGATGCGCCCTGTTGAACTGTCGGCAGTCTGTATTGTAGGCGCCTTGAACACCACATGCATACGGCGCCGGGTTATTTCTGTTTGATGCTCATTTTAGCAGATCTTTCTAGCCGTAAAGCAATTCGTTACAATGCGAGACCTGATATCACGCAACACTTCCTGATGCTGCGGCGGGCTCAAAGTTGCAAGTGTTTTTTTTCCGCTCACAGGCAACAGGGGGCGAATCTTGTTGCGAATGGTTTAAGCATTTGCATGAATAAGAGCGAGATCATGTAACACTAGCCAAACGATGAAAAAATTGACAGATACTGTGTTAACTGCGTTAACAGACCTAATTTGTTTATTTCAAATAAAATCTCAGCATTTTGCATCATATATATACCCGCATAGGCTTGACATCGCGATTGCGATATGATTAATCGTGCATCTTTACCGTCCCTTTAAGGGTTGGAAGGAATATGCTTCTGAGTAAAATTTGGAAAAGTGAATGTCCTGCCATTGACAGAGAAACAGAACAACAGAACCATGATCTGTGAACACAAACACAAAGTAACACACAGACCATATGTATGTTGTACCTCATTTATGGCCAGCTGCTCTCCTCCTCCTCCTGGGTGTCCAAATCGGTTGGAGGAGCTGCGAAACTCATTGTACAGGTCATCTTCACTCCCCACCTCATCCGCAAGGCCAGACTTATCCTGCGATCCATCGTTTATCACCAACGCTGGAAAGCAAAGCACAAATCTGTTTCAATTCAGCAACATTTGAGGTCTCGTGACTCAAACACTGATTAAACTTAATCTTGGGATAATAATGTGTTTGTTTATATGACAATGAAAAGTATTTAAACGAAAATATACAAAATCGGGCAATTTTGCATTGAAACATTTAAACACTTAACTGGTGTATGATATATTTACAGCATTTAAGTTCAATCAAAGTCATTTTTGATTATATTTTAATGGGTACATTAATGACTTCATTAATGACTCATGATTGAACAAACAAAAATCTTAAAACAGTATTTTAATGCACAAGAATATGATCTGTGATCTCAAAATGGAGTATGTGGCCCACCCTGTGGAATAAAATGGCTTTTTCTAGGCCAGAGGGTTTTCAAACGGGTGTCAAGAGACTTGAAGGAAGCCACAAGGGGGTGCTAGAGAGGTCCATGAAAAAAGAAATAATCAAAAAGGATGACATACAGATTTTTTCATTTTGTTTTTTACAAAACTATAAAATATTTAACAAACAACAAATCAATATTAAATTAATTCTTCAAAAAGGGAAATATTTCAGAATCCCGTTATTCTAAAAGCTGGTTAAACTATTTAATTGTAATTATTTAATTTCCATTAACAATGTGTCTGTATAATCCCACACATATAAAAGCTTTGGTAACACTTTAGTTTAGGGTTCTTTTCTCAGTACTATTTGCTTAAAAGCATGCATATAACTAGGATACTGGCTGTTTATTAATACATATTAATGATTTTTCTGCATGACCATAGTCTACATCCTTTAATCCTACCCTACCAAAACATATCATCTACCTTACTAACTATTAAAATAGGATTTTTTAAGTCATAGTTAATAGTGAGAATTAGAGCCTAATATAAAGTGAGCAACCCACTTTATGAAAAGAGCTCCTCCTAAGGCTATCATCATATCTGCACTGTAAAAAAATATATATATATTGTCAAGATTTGTTATTACAACATTTTTTCTTTAGTCAAATCAACTTAAATAATTTATTTAGCTGAGATGACTTATTATTTGAGTTTCTGATGATTAAATCAATCTCCTTCATTGTATTAACTCACTTTTTCCAATTCAATCAACTTAAAATTTTTGAGTCTTTAGCCTCAAACACAATAACAAAAAAACGTTCTAGGACCCTGATATGACACTCACGTGAGTATCAATTTTAAACATTCGTCAGATATAGCCTACTATTCATTCCTTCAAGAGCAAAGTTATATTTTATTATTAGAATGCAGAAGAATTTAGCATCTAACAGTTAAGATATGAGATTTAAAGCCTGAGGTTACACAACTGTTTTCCCAGCCATGAAATTTAATGACCTCATCTTGCATGGTCACACTTGATAAAAGGATGAATCCACTAATTAGCAGTTGGAATATTTGATTAGCTGCATCTCATTAACAGCAGGCTAGAACATAATGAGAGAATGTGGTTCACACACACCACACTGATCAAGCTTGAAACAGCCAAACCTGTGGCATGCATTGCACACTATGGGGGACGTTCACACAGAATGCATTTTTGCATTCCACTGCTCTGTTTTCCATTGCTTTCCAATGTACCGTAAGCATACGATAGAGGATAGACAGACATATTTGACAGTTCCGCACGTCATGTATTTTTCAGTTCTAAAAAATCTAGTTGTTCGAGCGGAAGACAGTGTAACCTAGTAGTAGGCTAACCAAAAGTAAATAAAACGGAAACATCTAATTAGTCACGTGGGTTTATTTTATTCGGCTAATGTGTTTCTATCTCCCATTATTCGCATTGACTATTTTTTCGCAAGTTAAAAACCACCTCAAGCGAGGGTAAAAACTTTTTTTTTTTTCGAATAAAGGGAATTTATCACTCCATCACTCATTTCTGATGCGATACTTCAAAATGCACATAAAACAATGATGGAAACATAGCTAATGTCAAAGAAAAAACACTAATGAAGAGCAACTGAAAAGGCACATGCAAAACATTTTTTTGTGGCAGCTGCTGATTCACTTACACTGTTTTACTGCAAAAATTTACTTTTGAAAGTGACCAAACCAATCGTCATTATAACTGAAATCATGTCTAGCATCAATACAAAGCTTTCTAGCCAACCCAATGGTTTCCAGATTTTTAGCAGACACTTAAGGGAACCATAACAACAAGCTTGCAGCTAAATTTCACTTTTAAGGCCAACAGTACGACCAAAATGCTCCAGTAAAACTGTTGGGATGCTTATTGAATCCACAGTGGTGCATTAACGTGCCCCTGTTCATTCATTTGTTATTTCTAAAGCACTGGAAACAGCTGGCTGGTTTCTCCACAGACAGGACTGCTATTATTTATTACTGTGCAGTAAACCAGTGAGGAAGAGAGGACCTGGCCACCGCAAGAAGCTCTCTTCCTGTCTCATTCATAATGAATGGATGGAAGGGAATGGAGTTAGACTTCAATTTACACCTCTGGAAAGATCCACTGTTCTGGCGACGCATGAGGGCACTGTCCATGAAATCGAGGTACTGTAAATATGAAAATACTTCTTTAAATTGTAAAGATGTAACTGAGAATCGAAACTCTGGCGAAAGTGGCTTCACGTCAAACTGCTGAAATGTCCCTAAAGCACAGAATATTTGCCTGTCATTTACAAGAAAAGCTGTACGTGTGAAAATGAGTCTGGTAATCCTGTCATGCTCTTCTGTGTAGGTTAATTGTTGAGCCAGTGGATTGATTAGGGAGACGGACAAGAGAATGAAATCGTCCTGATTTGTTTATCGGCTGCTAAGTGTGGCTCAAAGCATACGAGACAGCACATGTCAGCAGAGTTCTGCATTTCCAGGGTCACATGGGCTGATGAGATCAAATATAGTTCACTCAGAGCCCAAAGTCAGACAGTCACGGTGGGGTAACCCAAATAACCCTGTCTAGAACAGCCCCGCAACCGAGTTCATGTGCAACAGGGCTGTTTTCTTTGTAATGCAGCACGATTTTAAGCACGACATGGTTTGGGGTCTCTCTTTGAGGTTTTTTTTTTTTTTTTTTTGTGGCACAGATGCACAGATGTTTTGGATTTTGCCATTCCGTTAACACTAAAATATTCACTGAATATTTGAATTGTCCCTAATGCAAAATGCAATACATTTACTTTCCTCGCATCCTGCATTGGATTTGTTATCCTTCCCTCATGAGACAAAATAACCCGAAGCCCTAAAATGATATGTACTGTATATATTATTTTTATCCACCTTTAAATTACTAGATTTTATCAATAAATTATATAATTCAAACACGTTCTTCACATTCTTTGATACTGCATGCCTCTGGGCACTAGATGGTCTTATAGCGCTATATAGAGCAAATGAGCTGTTCCAATTTAGGTAAAGTTTTAACATTTTGAACACTTTTTTGGGTTTTGTAAGAAGTATTTCTCGCATTCCATTGTTTCCAACCACATAAATTCCTCGAATCCAGTAAAATAAAATGGTGTATTCGTGGTTCAAGTGCAACAAAAGTCTTTGGGTCTTGGACGACTCTATTGAATCCTCAAAAATAAAAATAAAAATTGTTTCGGCACAAAATAACCCGAGGGAATGACGAGGTCTTTTAATCAACATTATATGCTAGAAATGCTGTCGACTGAGCCTTCCTTGTTCTGAACCTGTAAAAATAATATAATAACCTATAATAAAAAACTACCTTTTGAGTGTATAAAAAAACACTAGTATCTAGTCTAGAATCAAACCCTGAAGAGATGTGCGAACATCCATGCACATGAGTGTGTTAACTCGTGCATGTTTTTAACCAGTTGCATGTACACACGCACACACACATATATATATATATATATATATGAAGAGTTCAGATGCAAAAGCCTCTAAGTGCCATTTGAAATTTTCTTCTAGAATGATCATTTTTATCAAGCTTGTATATTTAAGTTCAGTAATTTCACTTAAATTGCAATGAGGATTACCTATTAATTGTCATTTAAGTGAAATTACTGAACTTGAATATATAAGCTTGATAAAAATGACCATTTTAGAAGAAAATTTCAAATGGCACTTAGAGGCTTTTGCATCTGAACTCTTCATATATATATGTATCCTATATCTCTTTATATATGATTTCTGACCCGCTGAGGGTAATTTAAGGAGTTGATCACACAGGCAGAACTGTGAATGCGCACTGACCTGCTTCCTTATAAGTCCACATCCTCAGATAAAGTCACCCGACCGCACAAATTCACCTCTGAGCCATGCAGGCGAAGACTTCCACTCAGCCTAATCCACGTGCACTTTAATGATTAAGGCCTAGTGCTAAAATGACACTAACTTGCATTATAACACTCATCAAAAAGAACATTAGTAAGCACAGAACATTGAAGAACGAAGACAATTGAGAGAAGATAAAAACGCCGTCCCTTCACCTCAGACAGAGGTCACATCAGTTTTGAAATGGAATTTCATTCCTCGCTGATTTCCCTTTTAGTCGGGGGAACAAGTTTATGCCATTCACATGCCATCTAAAAGCCTTATATTAGTCTTATGGGGGTTTTCATATTGCTGCGGTCCGAATCCGTGACCGTTCACGGTGCCCTCTGCATCATCACGTGCATGGCGCATTAGAGAAATCAGAGATATATTGACAGAGACAGGTCAATATATTGTGTTTATTATTAATTTGGAGCTATTATACGCAGCAGAGTGAACGACACTTGGTTGCCGCTCTGATTGCACTCACTCTGCACAATTACACTCACTCACCACTGTCACACTGTCATTCCCTAAATGTGTTTTGTTGAACTAAAGACTCATCCTCAGCAAAAAAGCATACACGTTACTTTACTTCCTGAACAAGTTTGAGTTGCATTCACATGAATCACGCTGTTCCAGTGCATCCATCAAAGAATCCTAAAATATTAGAATGATTTCTGAAGGATCATGTGACACTGAAGACTGAGGTAATGTCTGCTTTGCCCTCACAGGA